AGGGGACTTGCGTGGGCTTGGCCAGGTGGGTCGTGTGGGAGCAGCTGTCCTGCCACCAGCCCCCCCAGACCCACTCTCCACTCCTGAAACTAAATCAAGACTGACATCTTTAGGGCCCCACAAAGAACAGCAGGAGCACGGGCAGCGAGCTGCCAGGGACAGACCGTGACTTTATTCTGTCTTTGAACATAGCAAATGGCATCTCCTCTAATATCACTGCAAAAATACTTTGCCTGGGTAAAATAGTATGTATATACTGTACAAAGGCATAAGTTTAATGTATCTTCCTATAAGTACATTTATACACATAAACCAGCATAAATTAGAAAAGGGACAAATGGGTATATAAAATTCTGGTGACATACAAATCTGATTAAATTAGCATTTACATTGTGGTTCTAACATATAGTTTGTTAAATATCGTGATGTGCATACAGTACATTGACACCCCCCCCCAGACACGAATTAAAACAAGGAGCCAACAGGGCCAGGCATTCATTTAAACGTACTGTAGGAAAAAGCTGTGGCCCACCTTGGAATTTATTTATTTTTTCCTCATCTTGGGGACTCACAAATCCATTCTTCGAAATTCCTGGCTTTTCCAAAGAGCTTCCCAGCAGTTGTCCTAAGCGTAGATGTTTGTTTCTCATCATGACCTCTTCGCTTTGCCCGGCTGACCTCCACGGCACAAGATTATCTACCAAAATCAAAACAGAACGGCCTTACTTTTCCCAGCAACAGGGTGTGTTTCAAGTCGGTTTTACGCACATGGGAGAAGAAGGGGGCGGGATGTCCTGCAGTGTTTTACTTTCCATTCACAGGCAGATTTGCGAGCGGTTTATTTATTTACTTTCCCCCTCCCCAAATTTACAGTCCTGGGAACAGGAATCATCTGGCTCGGGGCTAAGTGTGTCCTGCCTGAAGCTGGCATGGGGCTCAGCACGAGTTCGGTTACTGGGGGGTGAAGTCCATTTGCCCCGCTAACTGCTCCCAAAAAGTTCCACTCCTGGCACGGCAGGAGGGGACGGGTACGTGCTGTGTGGGGTCTCCAGCTGGAGGCCGGAGGTGACACGTAGCACGGGGTTAGGTGAGGGGAAGCCTGGCCTAAGTACCAGCAAAACCTTGGAGAGAAAGAGTAAAGCAGGCACAGAGCAGAAGCAGCAGCAGCGAGGACCCTGAACCACTTCGCATCAGCTACTCAAGCTGCAGGACGAGGCTGGAGACCCCGGGCTAAGACGTGCACCCACTGCTGGACGAGGCTCGGGTGCCCCTGTGGGCACCGACCACAAACCCAGGCACAGATGTCCCTGCCCTGCAGCAGCTCCAGCCTTGCCAGACACGACCTGCGTGTCCCAGCCGCACCGGTGCATCCCCACAGCCCCGACCGCACGAGGGTCTGCGCCAGCTCCTCCTCCCGGGCTCTGTCTCTCTGTAGGCTTAAGGACCATCGCTTGCCCGCTTTGGAGGCACTGGATTGTGCCTTTCCCAAGGGTTTTCAGATAACGTACTGGTAAGCTGGGCTTAACCCTGCAAGCCTCAGCTACCCAAAATGCCTGTTGGGGCAGGAGAGGAAGAAGAGGCCCGTGAGGTTCTACCAAACTCCCTCATCCTCTGTGAAACGTGGTTATTAGTAGAGCTACGCTGCAAAATCCGCTGCCTTTCCTCTGCTAACAGCCAGCTGTTAAAAAAAAAAATTAATTTAAAATCATTAGTGTCACATATCCAAGTGACAGAATGAGCGAAACACTGTCCAGCAAACAGTGAGGAGGAACTTGGGCAAATACTGGTCCTGTGGAGCCGAAGTTGCATCTGCAGCCAAGCTGTCTGTATGGAGATCCGTGGTTTGGAGAAGGGGGGCACCGATTTCTCCCCCCTGCAGACAGCCAGGGTGGGGACGTCGTGCTGTCGAGGGCAGACGTGGTGCGGCACAGCCAGGCTGACCACACCGTTCTGGAGGCAGCCGAAAGTGGATGTTGAAGAGATGTTTTTAAAGACTGTGTATCCGTGAGGGGAAGGCACCTTTGAAGATGTGACCACTGTTTGCAACCTCGCCTGGCTTAATGGCTCTCCGGATAAAATCTTCCCATCAGCGCTGGTCCCGAAGCTGACAGGCTTCAGCGTGCAGCCAAACGCAGGACAGATCAGGGATGCCTGGAAAAGCATCGAACAATCTCCTGGAAGAAACTGCCTTTCCTGATGAATCCCAGAAATTCTAAGAAGATCCCTAGGCTGCACTCCTCACAGGCCATCTTAGTTGCTGAATCCCGTAGGGTTTCTTCTGTCAAACCCCACAGCACTACCCCAAAACTGTTCTGCCTTGGTGGGGAGAGCCACTACGGTGGCTCCTAAAAGGAGAGCCTGGCCCAAAGCACGCCCCAACAGCTCCCGACACCGCTGGGAACCTCACCGACACTGCTAAACCCACAGAACCGTGGCTGCTGCTCGGGCAGGTAACCAGAAAACAGCCGCACAATCACCACGACGTTTGCAGCCAGAGCCGGCTTTGCTCTCCCCGTCCTGCGAAGCCTTCTGACCACGCGGAGCAAGGGCAACGCACCCTCCTCCTGGCGCGTCTCAAGCCCAGCATCTTCTCCTCGCCTGAGGCTTTAGCCTGCTGTCTGTCTCGGTAACGGCCGAGTCCTTTCTGCTCAAGATCAGCAGCAGACCTGAAAGCATTTAATCCACCCCATCGGTGCAAGCAAGAGACGGAACTGAACTTGTTTCCCCTCTTGCCACAAGATCCTTCAGCAGCCCTGGCACAATCAGCAGCAACATCCACACTTGCTCTTGTGGAGGCCAGTTTTTACGAGCCCTCCTCAGCCTTCTCATCTCTTCGCTGATCTCTCCCTCCTTCTGTTTAATGAAGAGGCAGTTTTCAACAATCAGCAACCGATTTTATGTCAGACTGCGGCTGCTTTTCCTCGCTTTTAACAGCTGAGCTTCTGAAGTCTTGCTTGAGGTCAGGGGAAGGCAAGATGTTTCAAAATGGAGAGGAACAGCTGGGTCTGAGCTCTGCTGTTTCTCCGAAAGTATGTCTAAGTTCAAAGTCCCGCTCACGGAGTGGGCTGTGGGTGAATATTCTATTTTGTCACAAGTTTTGAGGTTTTTAAGTGTCTTTTTGTTGCACACTGGAAAACAAACAAAACCCTTCCCATGTTTCCGCAAAGCAGAACGCTGTCAAAACATTTTTGTTGGATAAGGTCGGGTTTTTTTCTCCTTCCTTCTCTGCACAGAAGTGACTGATGCCTGAAACCCCCTCCTTGAACGCGTCATCGAGACCCAACATCTCGGCGCTGAGAAAACAGCAAAGTTCAGTGAAATTCAAAGCATCAAAACATCCCGACCAGCTCTCCGTGCGCACTAACGCGGCGGGAGCCCGCGCCACGCTGGCTGGTAAATGTGAAACACGTAACCGTCGGCACCGGAGGGGCAAAACCCAAGTCCGAGCTGCAGAGACTTTATCTGAGAGCTCCAATTACTCAGCCGCTGTATCAGGGAGTATTTTTGGAAAGTGCCTTCCCTCCCACACCACCTCCTCCTCCTCCTCCCTAACGTTACACACTTAAGTTGCTGTGTCAGGTTAATTACAGCACAGGATTTTGACAGATCAAAGTTCATTTAATAAAGCTCCTGCTGTTGTGCAGCGGGGGTTTGGGGCGGCTTTTCTACGGCACGGCCGCAGCAGGAAGGCTCGTTCAGGAGCAGCAGGATTCCCGCTTGCTGACATTTGCTTGTGCCCAAGCCACGTGTCCAAGAGCAGGTTCATCAGAAGGAAGCAAAGGATTTCTCTCTGGCCCTGCTGCTCCTCCCAGGGGTCTGGGCCATCAGCTTCTCCGCGGCCACGCGACTCTGACCAGAGGAAGGACATTTTAAATGTCCTTGGGAGCAAGATGGCTACAAAACTCGTTCTCAGTTTGCAGCAGGTTATGTTACAGGTAGCAAAAGAGATCTGGTCTAAGGTTTGCGCAGGTTGATTTGGATTTGGGCAGTGTTGTTTCACAGGGAGTCATGAGCTAGTCACCGTTTACCTAAAGAACACATCAGTTGACAGGAAAGTGCCTCACAGAGGTCAGCCTCCGCATATGGAACAAGTCCTGGGATCCTGATAAAGTTCTTACTTCCTCCTTTTCAGGCAAAACTCAAGCAGCAGGACATGTAAAAATGGAGTAAGAGATTCAGAACTCTGCCAAGTCCACAACTTGAAAGCTACTACAATATTCTGTGTTAATGCGTTACTATTATGAAGACAGCACAGATCACAGCGCGGTACCATCTGTCCGCCTCAGGGTTAGGTACTTCACACAGTAAATGCATGTGCAATAGAAGAGGAGCAGGAGAGACACTGCCAGGCTTAAGTTAGATTTTAAAAAGCCAGTATCTTCTTCCAACGGTAACTGAGGAAGTGCCATATAAAAATCATAAACTGGTTTAAAACTCTGCTATACCTTGCATCTTTGTGCCTGGGAAAGGAGTTGCCTTTTCAGTTACCTTAGATATGAAGAGACTGGTGAGGTTCAGGTACATCCCATCTGCATTCCATAAACTAACACAACTGACTGTAAACGCAACAGGGACTATTAAGTTTGTATTTCTAAATGATGGTACTGTTCAAGTTAAAGCTATTCTCGGTAATACTAGAAATCTGCACAAGGCACAAGGGTCAGACCTGGATCTGCACTTCAACTACTTTGTTCAGATCCAGCTCTAGTTATCAGGTTTGATCATCTTTGCCCCATCCCTAGCTGCCATTTAGAGGGGGTGTACTTTTCCTGGCACTGTCCCTATAACTGAATTCGTTATAACTTAATTCGTTATAACTTAATTAGGCTTGCCAGTGAGCTGGGGCAAGGTGGGGGCAACAGTAACTCTTCCGTAAGAGGTTAATACTTTCTTCTTAGCATGAGGGCTCAATTGCAGTTTTAGGGGTCCCGAATGCTCACAGGAGGAAACTCATTCTCGTCATCGAGACACACTGGTCCAGTTGCAAATTCATGTTCTGGGATAACTTCTCCTCGCAGGGCACCACCATCCTCTGAATAACCTGCCCAAGCAAAAATACAAAACGTTACAGAGAAACGGATGGAAGGAGGCTGGAAACAAAGAGCAAAGACACTGTGTGATCCCCTTTTTAGCCCAGAGCTCTGGGGGACTGCAGAAGAGAAAGGTGTCTCCACCCCCACTACAGATAAGGAATGGACTACCTGGCTAGCTCCTGTGGCAGAAGCTTTCCTCCTCCTGCCATGAACGCAAGCACCAATTTCAGAGTAAGAACCACATCTGTATGTGGACTTTACGACTCTGGAATATAATGAAATCACCCAGTCTTTCTCCTGCAGCAATTTAACGCAGCTTTGTTAGGGTAAGGTGTAACAGGCTTAGGAGAATCCGTAGCAACCTTGTCACAAAAAATAGTGAGATCTGACTTCTACACCCACAGTGTCGACTCTTGGAAACCAGGCTGGCAGCAGCTGCTGTCTGACAAACTGTGAAGCTCAGATGTGGTCGCTGCTCTGCTGGCGAGCACGTTTGTGGTGCAGCTCTGCCCAAGGAGGAGAAGCGCTGGCCAGGGGTCCCGGGAAGCAGAGCAGGAAACGCCTGGCCTGCTTTTGGGACAGGGGATGAACCAGGTGAGCTCCAGAGAGTCCTGCTGCCCCATTCTGCATGGCACAAGCAGAGTTTCTGGCTGAACCTTTGGAAGTTGAGAGACTTTCCACTTTGCCCCAGGAGGCATTTTTTGCTTCTGTCCAACGCGATGCTTACCTGGCATGGTAGAAGTTGAAGGCACTGTACTTTGTCTGGCTACAGTTGCTGCGTAAGATTGAGGTAACGGAGGCCGAAGGTCGTTTTCTTTGTCCTCCTCCATCTTTCCTGAGCCAAGCAGACTAAGTGGAGCAAGAGAGGGGTGAAGGTTAGTTCTGATCCCAACTGTTCCTCCCCCAGCACTAAGACAAGCACATAGAATCACAGAATCGTTAAGGTCGGGAAAGACCTCCAAGATCATCTAGTCCACGTCTCCTCGAAGCACATTGCCCGCCCACATCACTGCATCGGGGCACTGCCTGCAGCCCTACCAGCACTGCAGAGGAGAGCGTTGTGCTCTACGAATAAAGCAGGGGGGGAAAGCAGAAGATAGGGAAAGCACTACTTCAGCTAGAGGACAATGCTGGCACGAGAATAGAAGGGAACGGACTGACCACAAAGGCTTTAGGTTACAAAGGCAAACAGTGTTTCTAATCACAGAGGGGGCTCCAAAGGGCTTCCAACAGGAGCGGACTAGATGGTAAAAGCAGACCCGGCTAGTTTCGGACGGAGTTTGAGCAGAGATATAGTGATGTAACATAACTCATGACCCAAGGGCCCTTTTCAGTCCTCTGATGCTGAGTGGAACCCACATACAGAGCCGGTCTGCCAGCCCCGGCCGGCCGCTTCGGGCCAGCAGCGGACGGGCG